GGGGGGGAAGGAAGTATGTTTTAAAATCCTCATTTGAAATGACCCTTGTTTGCAGAGACCATGGTGGCACCCCGTCTGTGCTAAGTACTTTCCTAGCCTTAAACACCTTGCAGTCTGTTGCCTCTCAGGGAGAGCCAATCTGAAATTAAAACTGTACCTGCCAAACTGTTTCTCAGCACCTTTATAGTCCCCATCCCCTGGGCTCATACCAGTAGTTGTTTCTTTTTCAGTTCTTGACTGGCAAAACAGTGAGCAGGGGGTTGGGGGAATAAGGGAGGCAGGGGGTTGGGGGAATAAGGGAGGCAGGGGGCTGAACTGAAGTTTAACCTTCTATCCAGCCTGAACTGAAGTTTACCGTCCCATGTGACACACGCTCTAGCACCAGACAGAGCAGGTGCTAGAACCTATCCCCAAAGCACAGCAGATGCATTCCTCACTTCCCTAAACCTTTTACAAGTAGAGTGCTGTCAGAAACTGGGAAATACATGCTCATAGATTCATGGATGTTAGGGGCTGGAAGGGACCTTACAAAATCATCGGTACCAGCCTCCCTGCCATGGACAGGAAAGACTGCTGGCATCAGATGACACCAACAAGGTGCTTATTGATCATGAAGTATCAGCTACCAGCCTCCACATGAAAAGCGACATCCTGATGATGGGTGGGGAATAAGTACGTGGCAATAAAGCATTACTAAGTATTAAAATCCTATTTTAAGTCAGATTTCTTCAGGATAATTTTGGAGTAAGACAGGAAAGAACTATATCACCATCTTCATCCTCCCCCCCATGCCATTAAGTACTATCAGGCTTTTGACTACATGAATATATACATTCCTAGATCCCCTGCCTGTCATTTCCATGTATTAAGACAGAGTTAAAAGTTTGCTCATCTTTCTACCAATATCCTGCAGCGAGACTCCTCCCAAAGCTGCCAGGGCTGACCCCCTTGTCCGTAAGTCTGTTTCTAAAGATTCTTCTTTCATTTTATTTCTTTTCAACAAAGCCAATGAACCAGATAAACAGCCCTAAATCCTTAAAAGCAGACCTACAAACTCGCTCCCTCTCCCATGAATGTTACTCATTATCAACTGCCAACTCTATAATGCTCCAAAGTGTATCTATTTAGATAAAAACATTGTTGATCACATGCCTATGGCAAAAAAAAAAATGGACACAGGCTTGTTGTCAGGGATTTTTTTTTTTAAGATATTGGGAATGGATATATTATTCCAAGAGAAATTAGATCACAATTAATCATAGAAGTTAAGACCTTAACTAGCAAAGCACTTAAACACATGCCTAGTTCTAAATACACATGCTTCTTCCAAATGATTGCTTGGCAAAACAGACCTGGGGCGCTATGCTCAACTCTACATTGGGAAAATAAAAGGCACAACTGGGATCTGAAACTGTACTTTCATAGATTTCATACACAGTAGGGGTTGGAAGGGATCTTGTGAGATCAAGTCCAGCCACCCCCCCCCCGCCCCCACCCCCTCATAGGCAGGAACTTTTTTTCTAGTACCTGTTTCATAAGCGGTTGCTTCAGATGCATTGGAGCAACACATATCTAGAAAACCTTATTTGACTGTATAAGACAATGCTGCTTTTGCTTTCCAATTCCTAATTACTTCCCTTTTTTTAACAGTTATATCTCAAGTTGCCAGTCCTGCCTTCTCAAATGATACAAGATTTCTTCAATGTATTTAGTAAATTGCATGAATGGGCATTGTTAAATGCATCTGAAATATTATCTAAAGGTGCCATAGTATCTGATCCCCGATTCCAAAAGTTGCATCTCCAGCCATGCCACAGGTTGTGCCCTTTCTACTTGCTAGTGCAGGGGGAGCCCAGGGTTGTGATAATATGTAGAACTTTTGCATATTAAGTTGTATGCAATTTTATGGTGCCTTAAATTAGGTGCACGTGTAGCACCCTTGCCACCTATGCTGTAATTAACATATTAATTGTGGCATAAATGTAACTTGTAGCGAGGGGCCAAAGAAACAGTGTCTGCTAATGGGAATAGATTCTCATGGGAGGTTGTTATAGCAGAAGCTTAATAACAATTTTCTGAAATTTTTCTTTCCCTGACTTTTTTTTAAAATTTATAACATAGTTTCCACATTGCGGAGTAAACTATACAAACCCTTCCCCACCCCCCATTACTTGTTCCTTTTTTCAGCTTCAGAGATCTCAATGAAAGAAGAAAGAACATGGCACCGCAGTTCTAGACAGCCCAGCTCCACTTTTCAGCAGTGCACGCTTCATTTTTTTTCCTGCAGGTTTTTGGTTTTTTTTTTGGACTCCTGGATATCCAGGGGTAAAAAAAACCAAACAAACAAAAATACTGCTGGGGAAAAAAAAAAAAGGAGCAGTGCATGCTCAGGCAGTGTGCCCTTGCAGCACAGAGAACACCAGATTGTGTGGTATGTGGTGCTACAAATGTGTATGCAGCACCACATACTGCATGACTATAAACATTCTGAACAGAGATGGAAAACATAGAAAAACAAGGTTGAAATGCAAAAAAACTGATTTACTGCAAAAACGTGTTTCAAATTTATATAGTAGCCTGTAAAAACTTTGCATACAAGTTAAACATTATATTCTGGTGATCGAGTCCATAAAAATAAGTTAAGACAAAAACTAAAAACTATGTTCAAATATGTAAGCAACCCATTCGCACTTTTTAAAACTCAAAGTAAACAAACTCCTTCCAAATTTTCAAATCCGTCATTTGGACCCTTCACTTGCCTTTTGTGACAAATATAGTAATTTCTTAGGATGATTCTTATCCTTTTGTGCTGGGATTTTCCAATGCAAAATTATATTTGGTGCTAAAAGCATTCCATACACAACCTAAGAAACTGAGCTTCTTTCTGTAAATGTCACTTTAGACATACTTTATTCCAGAATATACATTTTCTGAAATTACTTGCACTGTATTTCATTTTCTAAAGCAGATTAAGAAAAAAGCAGCTGCTTTTCGCTGTATAAGACTTATCCCTCAAAGATAAGGAAGAGTGAACACAGGTATTGCCATGCTGATATTTATACTCCCCAAAGGAAGTCACTACATGAGTGTGAATAATACCTCGCCCCACACCTACTTCCAAGGAGGTCAGTGTATTGGCTCTGCAGCACCTGTGCTTGCTAGCCAAGGGAGATCATGGTCATTACTGTGTACTGCTACCCCACCAGACAGTGTGTTTGACCTTTATGCAATAACTTTTAGCTAATAAAAAAAATAAATGGAATTAAAAGGTTGGTGGATCAGACCCAGTATTATAGATCTATTTATGTTAGGCTGCTGAGGTAAGAAGAGAAGAGTTAGCTGGCGATGCTCTAAGCATATCAAATACTAAAACAGCCAAAATACAAAAAATCTCCCTCCCAATGCCCTCCCTGGACTTGAGCTTCAATGCCCATTCTGGGTTTTTCCCAGTTCTCACCGCTTCTGCAAAAATGTCAGTCTTTGAAATCTTTCAAGATCCCTCTGCAGAAAATAACTCTGATCCTATAGCTTTCCCATTATTTTCCATCTGCCTAGGCCCTAGTTTATATCTGGCGTTTCCCTTTAACAGAGAACTCTGACCCACCTGACATCTCCTTTCTCCTAATGCACTAAGTTCCTTTTACGTTTTCCCCAAGTTTGACAGACCCTTTAGTTATATAAAGGTTAAGGCTAGAAGAACTCTGTCCGTCTCTCTCTCTCTTTATCTCTTTCACAGATGAGTCAAAAAACCAAATAAGGCCATCTAATTCTCAGCTGCTGATCTAGCTCTGGTGAGGTCAGGCACAAGGCCCTGTAAAGAGACAGCCAGCCAGCCTGTGACATGGACACATATGGTTTTTGCAGCCTTTGTGTATTTTGGATGAGGAATAGAACTACCCATGAGGTTAATGTGAAAATAAGTTACACTAAAATGAGTATTTGTACAATTCTACCGTTCTTCCTTTATATCAATCCTATCTCTACAGTGAGTGAGCAGCATTCCTGTAAGTTTAGAGACAGTTTCTACTTAAAAGAGGATATTTATAAACAGAAGAATTATTTAGAATAGGGAATGAGGGGTATTTTCTCTTCTTATATATAACAAAATACTTATGGATCTTGGATGAGGAAGTGGCAAGCATTTTGCTTCCCAGCTGCTCTGAAACGGATTCGTTTTTTTACTTTAAAATATAACCTCAATTATGCTTCTAATACTTTCATTTACCACATTTTATGAAAGTGCAATAAAGACCAAAGTAATACAGACAAAGTCATGGTTAAAAACAGGAACACTATTTGTAAGAAAACCATTTACATGGCTTTATACCGACAAAAAACATTTAAAGATGAAGTCTTGGATGTAGATGACACGTCTGGGTAAGGCTGAAGACCCATCTGTTTATTGTCTTTCAACTTCTGAATTATAATTCTGGCAGATTCCTCTCCTTGGCTGTCAGTGGTATCGAGCAGTTGCCGGACTTTTGATGTCCTTGTAGGTTTTGTGCTGATAAGTTCATAGTCTTCTTTCATGATTAAATCCCTTGATAAGAGGGCATCCAGGGACTGATTCAGACAGGCTTCAGTCATTTGGTTAACTATCTCTTCTCTTTTACTTAGGATCCAGTGGTGGGCCACATTCTGTTGCATGGGTTCTAGAGCAAAATCTGAAGTTTAGAAAAAAGAAAATAAGTCAAACTCATGCAACAGCTATTTAATTAAATTTACAGTTTTGTAAAATAAAGAATGAGCTGGGAAAGAATACACATTTCTGGTAAAAAAGTGACAGAGTTGTGATACGCTGCCAAAGTTTCACTGTTTTATTCTACATTAAAAACACGATGGTAGTTATTGTTTTATAGGTTGATTAAAATATTTCTCTATCAGTTATTTGAACTTTCAATCTTTATTTCTAGGAGAAGTAAAAGCTATAAAAAACAAACAGTTCCATCACATGCCCCATTAACTCCATCTTCTCAACCATCCGCATCCTTAAACAAACAAAAACCTCACATCCCCCACAAATAGTTAACTGGCTATGGGAATGAATCACAGGGATCAGTAACTTTTTAAAATACCTTATATACATAAATTCCTCACATATATTATCTCACCACTATTACCCTTTTTCATGTTTTATAGAGTCACAGGTGGTTTTACTTAAAATCAGAAGTGCTAAATTTGGAAGAGAATCTTAGGTTGAGGCAGGGCTCTTCAGGTGGTGATCTTCAAGTATCTACAGCCGCCTCTCTCCACTGCTGCACAGTGGCTAGAGCCCCAGGACAGGGAGGGATGGAGAGGTTGTATGCTACCAGCAATGCCTGCACAGCAGGAGGAAGGGGACCATGTGCTACCCAGGATTAGTCTTTTGCCCCTTTTTCCTCCCTCAACATTACTGGAACTTAAAATTCCATTAATATGTGCTGTACCTGAAGTGATCATTGATGACTGCATCAGGCAGCGCCCGGGATTTGATGCATCTGAAATTTCTGTGCTGGAAGTGGATGGGTAGCGATGGCTGGGCACATAAAATTTAGCACTTTGGGCTGAAGAGTTATTTTCATCCATACTACGATCAAGAAAGGAAAGTGGTCCTCCAGAACTGGCATCTTTATCTTAAATAACAGAATAGAATCACATTATGTTTGTGCTCAGATAAAAAGATAACCCAATCCCCTCAAAAGACGCATTAGAAATTATTTTATAACACAATTTTTCTCTTTTTTCTCTCAACAAAATTCAGAAAATCATGAAGCTCAGGTACACAGCACTTTTCTTCTCTTATCCCTTGGAGTTGGAAGTTTTAAAAAAATGTTGAGAAAACCATTTCATGTGTGTTCAACTTCAAAAAAACCATAAGCAACAGAATATACCCATAATTACCTGGAATAAGCTGAGTTTTTACCAGAGCCCACATCAACAACTTTCATAGTGTCTACTTATTTCCTTTACAATATTAGCTTTGGTGGCTTTTGAGGAAGGATTATCCTGCTAAGGCTTAAATGGAATGCTAACAACTTGAAAGGCCTAAGCCCCCTCTCGCTCCCTAGGGAAAAGCTGAATTTTTTCTACCTTCTGTTAGCTTGTCAAGATGTACAGTGTTTTCATAAGAAAATCATATGAAATCTAACAAGGCTAATAGGAGAATCTGTAAAAGAAAGTTTAGGAGAGTTGGGGGATTTCTCATCTTTTCACTTTAACATGTACTAGAAAGAAAAAGTGCATGATGCTGCAAGAAATAAGGTTATGAGACACTGATAAGCCTAAAACCAGTCGTGTGGAAAAGTCTTCCACATCTGGATAACTGAGGCTGCTAGATTTCTACAAGAACTAATCAAAGATGATTACTTCAGGCTTGGGAAGTACTAGTATTCATGGGAACAAAATCTGGTGCAAGAACCGTATGTAATCTGGCTGAGAAATGGAGTGAGGTCAGAAACAAGTGGGATGCTTTTACACCAAGGGCATCAAACATCCAGCTGTGTCATCTGGCCTGCAAGGCTCCTACAGGGGGTCAGGAATTCAGGGGTAGAGTGAGCAGCTGTGGCATTAAGGTCCACAGGTTCCTGAGCTTGCATCCTGCCTCAGTTACCAGCCGAGGCAGCTTGCTCTGCCACTGGAGGTGGGTTTGTATTCAGCTCACAAAGAGCCCTGCAACCCAGATCCAGCCTGAGGGGCAAAATGAGTTTGACACCCCTGTTCACACTAATTCAAAGAGCTGGGCAACAGATGAGAGGAACTAGAGCTACCAGTGTAAGACCTGAGACTGGATACTGTAAAGGAGAATAGGAACAGGGTAGAATAGCATTCACGACTGGAATACAGACATTGA